ACAAACTCATTCCCATTTAAATATAATGTAAAAAAGTATTAGCCTTATGAACAAAACCACACTTTCCGTTTCACATAATATATAAGTAGGTATAGTTATAGAAAAAAAAATGCCTCACGTATATTAATAGTTATAAATATCGTTAAGTTTTATTGCTCAATTTGACCTCAGAAATTAATATATTATATGAATGATCAACAGTACCTATCTATATATTTTATTGAACTCTTTCATGGTTACCGGTAACTACTAGACCCTGATAAATAATCGTGCACTTTATAACCAATTCGCAATCATCTGAAATGGAAATATAAAAGTTTTTCTACTGCAATCTGATATTGCCAACATTCAGAGTGGCGAATTTAACGGGACTTCCCCGTTTGGTCGCTACGCGGTGATAAAGTTATAACAAATTAAATATTTCTTTCATCATGCATAGGTATAATAATATCAATTTGCTTTTGGCAATTGTTCAACACATTTTTTATAATGCTTACGCCTATCACGTATAATGCTTACGTTCGGGTCTTCCATCTTTCGACGGGTTCGGGTTCGAAGCATGCTTCTTTTCCCGGGCTGCATCTCACGGGGGTGCGCCGCTGATTTGCGGCCGTCGTAGGTGACGAGCCATTTTTGTTCTTCTCTGCCCTATCCTGTATCGTAGTTTACGACGCGACCCTCAGCGCGGTCAGCCATGCCGGGTGAGACCCCATAGGGGGAGACCCAGCTAGCGCCAGCGAGCATGCCGCGAATTACGTATAATGCGATTCAAATAAGAATAGGAAAGCCAATGACCTCATCTGTCAAATGACGATTGAAAAGTACTGTTTGCAAAAAATCTTGGAACTCTTGTTTAGCACTCAGCTAATTCTAGAATAAAAAAAACAAACATTTGTAAACAAACATGACGACGATGACAACTCCGGTAGTTATGCAGAGCTGAGCGGAATTGAAGATCTAGATTCCGATTAATATTTTTACTCACACAGTCATAAATGTTATTAAAAATCGGTGTTTTTTTTTCTCAATCTTAGTAAATAAGTTTTATTTAAAAAAACCTGATGTTTTTTCTCACTTAATCTTAGTAAATAAGTTTAATCGAAGAAAAACTTTTATTGCTCACTCTACCTATTTTGTTTCAATTGACAGCTTTGACATCACAAAATGGCGCCCAGTCGATCCTATTTTTAGTTGAATCGCATTATAACAGGCTGGGCAGAGAGTACGTACCGAGATTGGCGGTGTGTGGTAGGCGGTATAATGCTTGGAACTAATTATCTAATTTATAGTTTTTATACAAGGCTCAGTATAATATTTTATGTTGGAGGCAAATGGTTAATGGAGTAAACAAACTTGTCTTTCCAGCCATCGATCGTCACGGCCCAAATTCTACGTAACCTCGTAGAGTTTTACTGACCATTCTATATCCTCTTTGGCTGTAGACATTTACTGGCTTATAACAAAACGTAGACTCAAGTTAAACCTGGACTAAATCTGTTAGTGTCACTTTTGTTTCCTAAAAAGAAATGGATACAACTTCAATTTTAAACCAAGACTAACTTTACTCCGCTTTTGGAATAAGGCGATTAAGGTTCAACTACATCTTCTTTGGTACCTCCACGAGAGTAAAGTCAGTTGTACCCGTACCTCTTTAAATTATGATGACGTCAAAACGTTCGCTCTTCTTACTCGGTAATAAAAGCGGTGTTCATATCAAAGTTTATTCATCAATGTTGCCTTGTACTTTGTATTTAGTTTTGTACCAAAACACGTTCTCGGTACGGGGAAGCCCATGTGGAAATAAGCCTGTTGTTGTTTACAAACTCACGATAAAAATATGCTTCCACATAAGAGAATCCCTTTTTTTTTTTAATTTTATTCTTTTCCTTATCCAATCATGCATTCTGATTAGATTGAAGTATAGTGTTGTGTGTCCAACAAATGAATATATCATTAATAATATAGGAGAATTTAATAATAAAACTAATCATATAAAATTTGTAGCAAACAAAAGATATGACACAACAGCAAATAAACCGCGCCACCTTTGTAAATCATGACTTGATTTTCTTAACAAGTATAAATAACACAAATCTCAAAGTTATATCTATAAAAAGTGCGATTCGTGATGATTAAAATTAACAGGAATTCTTTAAGATAAATCCATTCATTAGGTTCTTATTAAGAATTTTCCAAAGAAATGCATTTTTCCAATTGTGTAAATCGGTAGTAAAAAATGTTGAAAGAAAGAAAGAAAATGTATTTATTGTCCATACACGCAAATACAATGTAGCAAAAAAAGAAAAAAAAAACAAAGCAAAAAAAACAATAAAATTAAAACGATACAGAGAATGTTGCAAAAATACATGTGTGACAAAAGTAAAGAAATGTTAATATGTATAAATCAGACTATCCATATTTTTTAAACAAAGATCGATAATCGCAACTTGAATCAAAAATTAGCAAATCGTTATCTTATTTCATCATATAATCATTATTACTTCGAAAGAATATTTTTACTAGAAAAAAAATAACTCTGTTCAGGCAGGGCAGATCGTACCGGAATAATAACTCGAGCGGGTTAAGTACATAAGAATACATTTTTAGTCATTATAATCATCGTGATCATGAAACGCACTTTCTGTGACTTCGGAAATGGTAAGTTTTATAAATACTTATAGAAAATCGAATCGGAGCCCTTGGCACTGGGCACCTTACCCAGTTTTTTTGATATCTAGTGCAAAATGTAAAAACTTAACATTAATAAATAGAAATATGGTAATTATATTATTATACCGTTATCACTCTTTAGATGAGGAACACTAAAGAAATAAACATAGTATTCGCTATTACATACATTCCATTCCAATACTCTAGTATAAAATGTCATTGAACCTTGTATTGCCTTGGCTTTGTTAGGCGGTGTTATCAATGTAAACCGGCGGCTTGAAAAATATTTTTATCATACATAAATACTAATCTTTTATGCTAAATACCGCACTCATTGATTTGCAATGTTTAGCATAATTTAATAAAATCATTTAATAATTGTGTGAAAGTTGAAATCACCACATGTTTTCAGGTTTTGATGTCATGAAATATAACAGGCAGATAAAATAGTCCTGAGTTTTTTGCCAGTTCATAGATACAGCCTAGACTGAATAAATGAGTTTGAATTTTAATAACGGATACGCGGATGGGTGATCGTAATATATATATATGCTATTTTAACGACTGCTTTTAAGAGAGGCGGGAAGAAGCATTTTTGCGGGCCGGCAAGGTGAGGATGGTTGGTGTAGCAGTTTAAAACTGTTATACCAGCTATCTTCGCAACATCAGGTGGGGTAGAGTCATTTGCCTACCTCGCCATTTTAACGACTGCTTTTATTTATCACTGTTGGCCTGATGGGGTACATTTTCATGTAAAAAAGACGATAAAGAAACAGCTAATAGTCATCATCATCAATCAATCATTTTATTAGGCATTCATTCTTTTTTGTTTATTATTGAGAGTTTTACTCATATTTGTTCTATACTTTCGAAACCAGATTGATGGCTTCCATGTAATCAGTTTTCGGTCGTCCATCCAATGGCTGGCCTTTGCGAAAATCGTTTAACTTAATTAATTGCAAACCAAACACGCTTTCTGGTCCTCCAAATTAGGCACCTTATTATAGTAAAATATCTATACATGAAACAACAACACAAATAGTTTTTATTAAAAGGAGGTTAAAGGTGCTTTTAACCTGTTGACCTGTTTCTTATAAACGTTTATTTCTTTAATAACATCTGAATATTTATTGATGTTGCTTTATTTAAAAAAAATTGGTTGCTACGGAGTAGGTTAACGATATCATTTTGTTGAAACGTTTTGTTAGCCATCAAACTAGGTTACATAGCTTGTGAATACAGCTTGAATTCACTCATAAATCTTTTGAAGCCAAGCTTGTAATAATGTAAATAATTGGTCTGACGTTGTTTTCTTTGTATAATTGTTGTTTCAGAAACGAATATGGTGTACTAGCGGCCCCACGTGACTTCGTCCGCGTTAATTTCAGTTATTTGAAAATCTCAGGATTCCGGGATAAAAATTATCCATGTCTCAATCCAGGCCATAAACTATTGCCTACCAAATTTCATCCAAATCCGTTCAGTGGTTTAGACGTGAAATCGTAACTAATAAACAAACTTACTTTCGTACTTTTATTATATAAGTAAGGATGACACAGACGATAATAGCATAGTGTAACGACAACTTATAGAATAAGAAGGGAATAAGTTTTTGATGTGAAGCGTAAGAGACATTCAGACAGGGCCGTCTTTAACCTATTGGAGGCCCTGGGCATAGATATTAGGATAATGGGGCCCCAATGACTTTGATGTGGATTATGACTTGAAATGGAGTAAGTCATGCTGATGAGTGTACTACTGATGATTTTTCTTTAAAATGTCTATGTGCTTAGTATACCATTATATGTTTATTTAAATTTATCTAAGCATGTTGAAGTTTGAAAGCCTAATTTTTGGGCGAGAGTAGAATAGCTTCGCTTATGTAAAAGCTTGTAAGTTGGTATTGTAGTCAGTACTTTAGGTTCGATTTCATCGAATTATATAAGTTTTTTGGTAATAAATATTGGTGATCGTTTGGTGATCTGACAGGAACTAGGGACTTTGTATTTGGGCCCTGGGCACTTGCCCAAAGTGTCCACTGGGAAAGAGGGGTCTGCATTGAGACAATGGTGTCGATTCTGGAATGATTCTTTAAACCTAAAATGAAGTTTGACAATAGTGTATCCTTTTCATTCTCTATACAGAATGAAAGGGAGAGGCTGATGTTGATTTAGAGAATCATGCCATTATTAACACCAATGTTTCATAAACTATCACATATAACTTGGATTATTTTAAGTTTTTATTGAGTTTGTAACCAACCATGTACCGTTGAAGAAATTGTTCGAAAGCATGATTATATTAAATGTATCCTTTTTTTTTGTTTACAGTTAACCTTAACGGGGCTTCAAAGGTGGACATATCACATTTCGACTTGCTCAAAGTCCTTGGCACGGGAGGTGAGTTATCAATTTTATTGTTACCTCTTAAGGCCATTTATTATCCAATCTAGGCACGAGTCGACTGCTACTTAAGAGCCAATCTTAAATTGTATCTAACCTCTTTAACTTTTTAAAAACAAAAGCTAGCTATACGGTTAAATATGTTTTATTTTTCTTGGTGATATAATATAAAACCTTTTTTGGTGAATAAAGCGTCTGAAACGAAACCTTTATTGGCCATCTTAACAAAAGAAAAACTTATAAATGGAACAATAAAAAAAAAACTTAACATAACGAACAAAAAAAAAGAACATAATAAAACTAAAGCTATGGACGTAAGACTTGGCAGTATGGCTTAGTACCTTCGCCTGTCCCAATGGACGAAATTAAACTACTACTACTACTACTAGAACATAATAATCTAAGTTAGCCAATCAGGACCCTGCCTCAGCTTATGCTGACACAGTGAGAGATAATAATTAGAATCATGAGTTTTGGCTATTGCTAGGTTGAATTCAGTGACTTTCCGAATTAAACGTTGAAACGTTTTGTTAATATCATCATCACGAGCCTATTAATGTCCCCACTGCTGGGCACATGTCTGAACTATCAATGCAATAGGAAGACTGGGTCGTGACCTACCACGCGGGTCCAGTGTGGATCGGAGGGGGAAAAAAAATATTTGTTAAAATTCTACTAGGGAATGTGAAGTTTCAGTGTGTTAAGGCATGATGAAATAGACTCATCTTATTAGTTTTGTAACTGAATAAGCCTCAACAATTGTGATAATTTCTTTTCTGTCCATACAGTAGCAAAAAATAATATATAAATATTTCCGATACACACCAATTAGCCTAGCCCCAAAGTAAGCACTATAAAGCTTGTGTTATGGGATGCTAGGGTAACGGATAGAATACATAAAGGTACTGTACATATATAAGTATATTTATATAGAAATACATATTAAACATCCATGACTGGAGTACAAATGCTCATGTTCATCACATAAATATCGGCCCCCACCGGGATTCGAACCCGGGACCTCTCGAGTCGGCGACACCATTAAACCCGGCGTACAAACCACTCGGCCACGGAGGTCGTCAAAGCCTGTCTAGAAACTGAAATATGACATTTTATTACTAAAAAAATTTCTTCTTTAAGCCAAGTCGTGTTATACCTTGTTTGAAAAATATTTGGCAATCTAAATTTGGAATGAGCATGAAGGATGTAAGTTACACTTGTTGTTACCACATCACATTCTAAGAGAAACCTCAGCATGAATATACCTTCTATACTTAGTCACTGTCCTCCATTTAGTTGTATAAAAAGAAAACATCCAATAGTGAAACTCTAAAACAAATTATCCTTATTAATCTTAAAATTTCTCAAACAGACTCTAGGTAACGCAGCGTTATGTAATATGCACTAGCTTGCCACTCGCGACTTCATCCGCTTTAACTTAGTTTTTTGCGAATCCAAAAAGTACTCTGTCTCAATCCAGGTAATAAACTATATGTGTACCAAATTTCATCTAAATCCGTTTAGCCGTTTTTGCGCGATTGAGTAACAAACACACAAACTTTCAGATTTATAATGTTAGTAGGAAATATCGCTGAAAATCGTGAGTTATCATAGCTGCACTAATTATAAGAGTTAATAAGACAATTGAGCTTTCGTCACCGTATATCTCGTATATGGGAGCAGTGACCGCGGCGAAGCACGGAAGTGCACTCCTGCGCACCACACCGCACACACAAGTTCAACATATGGTCGCTTTAGTTCGAAAATCACGTGAAATCTTATGTTATTCAAATTTCAATGGAAAAATCATAAAATTGTTGTGAACGAGTAGTTTGATTTTTAAATGATTTTATTACGTTCCACTTTCTCAAGAAATTGTATTGAGAGTTGAAAAGGGACTTATAATAATAGGGTATTTGACAAGTTTTAGGCAACGATCTCACGTTATTAACTAATGTTTATGGAGTCCGTTAAAAGTGGATATTCAACATTCTGTTCTGTATTTCAGTAAAAATAACCAAATCAAAAACTCCATTTTCAAGTTGCCGCGAAAACGTTTCTCTAGACAATATGGCGTCTTACTAGTGTGTGACGTTACACGACTGTTATTAAAACGTCAAACGATACAATGTAATGTGACTTTAACCGGAAGTTTACTTGCGTGTGACGTCATTTTAGGCTCCGCCAATCCCTAGCGTTTTGGGTCACGTGACAATAGATAAGAAAACTATTATCTTTTTCGAGGGTTTTTAGTAAAATTATGGATTTTTATTTGTGTAAATAGAAAAAACCCCTGCCAATATTCAATCTAAACACAGATGCTAACAATTGGCACTTTATTTTTAATACTGTCAAATACCCTATTAGCATTTTCTTTGTATACTAGACATAGTAAGTTACAGCATCCCACTTAATAAGTATTAGTGGAGTCTAGTCGCGTGTATAACTGAAGCGGCAGTTAGGTGTGCCGTTCTAGCCATCCTCACCTGGCTGGTTCTGAATTCTGAATGCAGTTCCGCAGCTTATAGTCCTGGGGGTTAATCGCATAATGGTATTGCTATGGCTATCGCTGTCGCCTACGATTTCATTTTGTTATTTCTGACCGCCGAATGTTATCACTTTTTTTTTGTCTGGTAGATCTGAGTTCCCATTTATTACTTTGGTTGGAATGGCACCGATTCCAAAAAATAATTTGTCGAAATATAAAAAATGTTTATTAGTTTTTACTTTTCGCCGGTTTAATGTTTTTGTCAAAAAGTTTTTTTATTATTATTTTAGAATGAGAATACTTTGAATAGCTTTTGATATGCACCAAGAGTAGTGTTGCCAGGTGTCTCGATTTGCGCGGGACATCCCGATTTTCAGGGGTCTGCGGACGCGTCCCGATTTGTACTTGATCGGGACCCTAAATGTCCCGATTGATCAAAACATGAAATTTAGGTAATTAATATAATACTATACTTGCACTAGTAGTTTAAAACGCAATAAATTAAAACCCAGACTGAAAAAAACCCCTGTTTTTTGTTTACTGTCCCTATCTGTAACCCTAAATCCCGATTTTTTGACCTCGTGTACCGATTTAAAACAAATCGGACCTGGCAACTAACTAAGAGTGACGTAATATCTCAGAAATGTGTAATGAGAATCAGATCGGAAGAATTCGTGCGAGCTTGCAGATATTTGCGATGCGATACGAATTAGCAATAATGTGTGGGAGCACTAAATCTCATTGTTTCTATTGTTTTCCCAAAGATTGTGATAGCATAAACTTAAGTCAAACTCAATAGTTTATCGACTTCCTTGGGTGCGGAAGTAACACTGCACAAGACATTCGATACATCCTTTAAGGTACCTGTAAAACTACTCGTATCATCTAATCTTTGGTCTCGGAAGCATAGTAGTGGTTAGTGCATTTTCCCGTATAGAGAAAAACGTTGGTTCGATTCCAGAACAGGTTTTCTATATCAAATAAATCATAATTGTATTGACGTTGTAACAACATAATGATTTGTACATTAGACTTTTAATGATGTGGAGTATTTTTCTCTAGTTTTTCTCCGCAGCTAAAAAATATGTCCATAACGAGTGGTAGGGAAAAAAAATTTTGGACGATTCAAAAGAGTTGTACTATGCATCCATTTTGAATAAAGATTTATTGATTTCTGATTTCTGACCTCTTTCACCCCTTTTGGAAAATAGTCCCTCGTCCGTACAAGGTAAAGAACCACTGAGCTGGGTGAAGCCCGTGTGAGGGGTAATCAGTCTATTGCGCTGTACTGTGCTATGCTCTATCTAGCTAGAACCTACCTTAGGCAGTCTTCGATAAAGCTATTAACTGTCGGCTATTTTCTTGCTCAAGAAACGAGCAATAAATATCATCATCAACCTATTAATGTCCCCACTGCTGGGGCACAGGCCCAAGCTCTCTATTCCATCCAATAAATATACATCCGTGTAAAAAAAAGAGATGCATATTAGTAGTTGATCAAAATGCGCGTGTGTGCGGATGGATAGATGAATTGGATGGAAGCAAATTGCTTAGGATCCTTTTCGCGAGCGAATGGTACTGCCGAAAAAAACAATGTCTGAAAAAAATTGTTGATGTACTGAAGTATGTTATATTCCAATTGGTTTTGTCATTGTTTTCTTTTCAACAGGAATGGAAAAAGCTTATATAAAAATGTAATCAAAACATTTTGAAGTAAAAATTAGGCACGTGGCAAAACACTTTCACCACTGAATTCCTCGAAGTCTAAATTCAGTAAAATTTCCAGGGCCCAAGTTAACACACCGCGACGCCTGAAATCTCCAAACTTCTGGAATAGAAGCCCCGGAACAAACCAGGTCACGTTGCGAACGAAAACAGTGCGTCTGTTGTTACAAATAATATTTCTGTATCAAAGTCTTGCGCTGTTTGTTTTTTCTTTTCCTCGTTCCTATTAAACGTGACAGTAAATAGTTTGGTGACGTCCCTCATTAATTTATTTAGTAAGAGCAATAATGAGCTTGGAAAAGGTTAACTTTTCCAAAACTCTTTCAATAGAACACAATTTGACTGATTTACTCAATAAGTGGATTTACGTGAAGAGCTCGATTGCGCGGGTGGTTAGCGCGTTCGGCTGCGATAGTTGAAGTAAAGCAACTTTCGCAGTGGCTGGTTATTGGATGGGTGACCAAAAATATTCTATCTCGAGTTCCTCCGTGCTTCCGAAGGCACGTTAAGCCATTCGTTAAGCACCCGCAGTCCGCACTGGGCCCGCGTGGTGGGGTCATCATAGTCCAATCTCCCTATTCAATCCATAGAGAAGGCCTGTGCCCCAGCAGTGGGGACATTAATATGCTGATGATGATGACTTGTTATTTCATACTAGATCAGCGCTTATCGGTAACTTAATTCCTTGGTATTAAAACTGTAAATATGTATATAATAGAGAGTTTAGGAAATTATTAAACTTTAGTCATCAACACTAAATTTCGAACATCTCGCCAATGACGTT